TCGGAGAACGTAGTCCAAATTAGGCTCACTAATTTGAACTACCGTTACTCCTCGAGATGGAACGAGGTGGAACGGTAGTTCGAATTAGAGAGCCTAATTCGAACTACCTATTCCGTGCTGCGTGTAGCCGTGGGCACGGAGTTCGCACTAACGGGGATTTAAAAATGGCGGCGCCTGGCAAGATGCAAATGAAGCCTGGTATATTTAAACCCCAGGCTTCATTTGCAACTTCGATTGCCTACATTAGCCACCCTAGTTCGAACAAGGATGGCAGTGTAGACATACCCTCAGTTGTAATTGGATTTCAGACAGTTGCCAGAGCTGGCATGGGTGAATTTATTATTTTTCCTTAGCTCTGGGCAAGATCACCAGACACACATGGGGATCATGTTCAAAAGCGATGAGTCTATGGCTATGGGTCTTACCAAGATTTACCTTGGGTTTATAAAACAGTGCAAGGGCATGGCTGTCACTATGACAGACCTTGCAGTGAGGAAGCCTATTGTAGGTGAGCCTGGTTTTCATACACTTGTCCAGTTATGTACTCTTGTTTCTAATATTGGATTAGAATCTGTAATACAACAGAGCCAAAACATGGGGAGGCCTGAGATGCCCTTGGTGATGTTACTGCAATCACTTCCTGCATCAATTTTGCATTGGTGGTGTCACAATTATGGATTTTAAGGGGAGCAGTCAGATCACTGCAGTGCCCACGGGAGTAGAGGGGGGCGTTGCCACAAAGTCTATACAAAGGGGGCCATGTGAGGTGTCAAATGAAAGCTTATGTTCTACTGATTCTATATATTCTACTCATGTACTTGTGTGATGTCTGTATGTGGCGTTATGATTATGGATTCTGTGCTGATACTGGCTTGGACTGCCTGTTGTAAAGGAGGATTGTCCAAGGAATGACTATGCTAATTAGCACAGCTCTAGGAACAATGGCTCTCAAGGTGCACAATACACACCTGAGGAATGTGTCTGGAGACCTGCAAACCAGCCAGGGCAGAATGGCTGCTGACATATGAAACAGAGATAGGTCACTCGGCCATGTGACCTGCTCCTCTTGGAAGGGACCAGGGAGATATATAAGTGCCACGAGGTGGTCTCCATCTTGTCTTCAATTCTGCGACTGATCCCAGATGCAGTCTTGCAAGGCACAGCGAGCTGGGAAGGACTGTCAACCCATCCTGACGTCGGATGTACACCAGAGACTTTTAGGATAGCACTTTGTAACATCTCTGCTGAGAGCCTGCATCAAGAACTGGGCGATTCAATGCATGTAATGTATTTTCTTTAACAACCTTACTCTCCACTTTCTCTTTCTTTTATTAATAAACCTTTCGATTTTAGATTTGAAAGGATTGGCCCAGCGCAATCTTGTGGGTAAAATCCAAAGTGTAAATTGACTGGGAACTGTGGCTGGTCTTTTGGGACCAGAAGAACCCGTTCGGGGTAGGTGAGATTGGGTTCTATAACCCCTCACCTGTGTGTTAGGCTCAGGGCTGATTTTGGCATAGGGACAGCTGGAGTGTCTGAGGGGTTTTGCTTGTGAAGATCCCTGCTGGCCAGGTTGGCAGCTGAATTACTTGGTATGACTGGTTTGTGGCCTGTTTGGGAAAGGTCTCCAGACAGGGGCTGTGAGGAGCCCTGAGTTTGAGCAATTTGCCCTGAGCGGATCCCCTCTGTGGTGTCCAGACCCAGCACGGTCCATCACAAGCTGGTACCAACTTTGTCTGATGTTCTGGAAGACAAAAGAAAACATCTTTCTACCTCAGTAGGGATGGCACATTATATCTTAAAATTTTTCTTTCTTTTACAAGTATTCTTGCTGACTTTGTTATCAGCCAGCTGTTACCCAATAATTACCTATGCTTGTTCTGTAAACTAGCCAAGCCTCAGAAACATCCATCCTCTGTGAGTTCTGGGTACATTATTCCACTGCTCAATTATTAAGTTAATGAGGTGGCATGCCTCAGTTTCCCTCTTCTTCAGCAGAGCAGGTTTTTAATAGTCTGTTGTGAAACTTCAAATTTATTCACAGGTAGTAACTGAGAAGCTTTATTGCTATAGTGATTTTTCTTTACTTAGCAGTAGGTGTTTGCCAGTTACCATTTCAGCAAGCCCAAAAGTTTTTTTTCCTGAAAGAGAATCATATACAATGTTGCAGGGTTACTTATTAACACTAAATTTATTTTCATGTATACATCTTGTTATATACCATGTCTTTTATTTGGACAATTTCCTTCTGAGGACAGTGTGTTACCCCCTCTTGAAGTCTTTGACTAGTAGACACCTTCTATCCCTGCACTGTCACTTATGGAGGGTTAGAACTGCCTATAACAGACAGGCAGCCTGCATCCACATACACTTTTAAGTTATCACCAACCGAGAGACTCAGCCTTGAAAAGGGACACAGTGAAATTCCAGAGTTTTGATTATTTATCACTTTTATGTTCTGCTTTCAAAGCACACAGCAAAACCACAACCCTACGGTGGCTTCTCTCTGGAGTACATGAAGTATCTTACAGATTTTATGTACCCACATCAAAGCAACAGTCTGATTAGTTAGAACCATTTTAAGGCTCACGATTAGGGTTGCCAGGTGTCTGGTATTCTACTGGACAGTCCTTTTTTTGCACCCTCTGTCCAGTAAAAAAATTCAGAAAATACCGGACATGTGCAATGTCTGGTATTTTCTGTTTTTCCGGATGGGTGCTGGATGGAAGCCTGGTGGGGGTGGGAGGAGTGGCTGTGAGGTGGGGCGTGATTGGTGCTGGGAGCCTGTGGTTGCATGAGGAAACCAGGTGGGGGGAGTGGCTGGGAGTTCCAG